GTGCTTAGAACGTGGTGAAGGTGGTTTGATCCAGGTGATCTTCAGCAAGCATCGGGCAAACGCTTCGTCAGTCTCAGTTTTCGACGGTTGTTGATGTGTTGCTTCAGAAACGATTGCACGATTCGGATGCTTCGCATGTTTCCAACAAGGGGTCAGATGCCTCCAAACTCCTTATACTATGTTTTCTGGTGTTTCTTCGGGTGCCATTCCGTGAAGCACAACCCTCTGTTTTCCTTCTCGTCGCATTTCCCGTCGTCATCCTCGAGGCTTCCCTCTTCTCCTTTTAGCCATCATCTTTCTTAGGTAATGTCGGTGTCAGGCGGCAGCCGCGTAGATATGTCAATCACAGAACTGGCACGAAGCGGGGCGATCTGGCGGAGGAGGGAGGATTGGAGAAGAGGAGGAGGAGGAGGAAGGCAGAGGAAGAACGGTCATGATCTTTCTGTTGCCTCTGCTCTTGGCTGAAAATGCACTCGGAAAACGCATGCTGTCCCAGGATTGTCAAACAAATGTGATCGCCATGCTCTGTGATGGAATTGATACTTATGTTATATGTTACCTTATGCGATTTACATCTTGTCCAGTCGCGCCTGCAGCTTGGGCGGAAACAAAACGTGCGACAATTTCCCCTCGGGAACAGGCTTAAACATGCAGGATTCAACAACATCACACGTCTTCACTAGACGTGGTGTGACGTCATGACGGACCTTGGTACGATTATCCGATATCGAAACAAGTGGCCACTCAGATATGCACGTCCGCAGCTGCCCAAAGCATTGAACGTGAAAGTACACCTGCCCAAACTTCAAAGAAGCATCGGAGCCCCTAAACGCAACAACGTCATTCACCTTGCAAGCTCGAGAATTGACTTGAACAGCATTGGCAGTTAAAATGGCCTGGCCGCGACACTCAGGGAAACAATCGCACACTGTTTTTTTCAGACGGGATGACGCCTCCCTGGAATTCAACAGCCCAGCCTTGATGAAATCACCGCGCAGATCATGCAACCCTTGTACTGTACATTCTTCGAGCATGCCTCGTCCGAAAGAAACTGTCGAGTGGCGTTGCTCAGCGTATCGCTTGGCAACGCGATGCTTTCTCTCGTGTACAAAGGTGGCAGCTAGGCATTTCTGCTCACGCAACTGGCGTGGCAAGTGCAACGCCCAGTGGTTTCTGTTTTTCAACAAGGCCCCCCCCCACGCTTCTTTTTTGAGCGACCAAGTGCGACGAGATTGCGTGCAGCAGTTCGTCGGGATCGACCAAGCCTGCGTTAACGACCGACAGTAATGCCACCACATTGCACAGCAGGATGCCACTATTCACAACTTCTGGGTCGGGACATGTCCTTTTTTCTAGCTGCAAGAACCTCGCAAGCACTGGGGCGACATTCGCTTGTTCTGACGCATTTCCGCCTGGGCTGCTGCTGGGAAGAATGGAATATTGCATGCACCCTGCACCATCAGTTACCCAATGTGCTCCAGAATTGCCCATGCTCCCCTTTGGTGTCCGACCGAAGCTGACGGCGCCGAGCATCTGCAAGATTACGATCTGCCCGATATGTGTATGCTTACGGCACACCTTCCTGGCGTCACCGTACGCAGCAGGCCATTGCCACCACTGAAGGTATGCATCTAGCCTCGTTCCCCGACCGTTCACATTCTTGACTATGGCTGAGGACTCATTTGTGAAAACGCCGTCAACCATGTAAACATGCATAAAATCCCACGCAGCCTGCGTGGCGAGGTCCACATCCAAGTGTTCATCCTGCAGCACGCCGTGCGAAAAACATTGAAACCCAAACGTTGCTCTGCATCGTGAAGGATTTGGGGCGGTGATGTGTTGAAGTGGTGTCTGAGGATCTTCTGGATGCCCTGGAGGGAAGCCTTCGTGTGCATGTGGAACTTTGTGATATCGCATTCGGTGGCCGATATGCAATAGCCAGATATGATTCAGGCAACTACGACGAGTTTTTTTTGTTTCAGAACATTTGGACGCCGCATGCATGCTTTATGTTCTTGCCCACCTGTGGGCTGGAAGCCATACTTGTGGCCACGTTCGTCCGCCAGAAATATCAACAGATCTCCATGCACAATCCTGGGGCCGTTGTCTCCGAATATATGCAATTCCACGCCATCCCTTGTATCTGGGCTATTCGGCCGCCCGCAACAGAGCCGCAGCACATGTTTAATGACTTCTGTCATGCCCCCAGGATGCCGTGTTTCCTCGGTGCTGCGTAATAGAAAAACCGTCGTCCGCAGAACTTCGTAGCTCGCTCAACAAGGGGAATTCAAATTGCCTCACCTGCGAAGGCGGGGCACGTGTTATGAGCGCAACGATGTGGATCCCAGCCTTAAACGAGCATGACGAGGGGGCAAGGGCGCCCCTCGCAATGCCCATCCAAGGCCACGGGCCCACACTTGCACTCACACTGTGTCCCCCTTCCCAGCCGTCGCCGACCAATGCAGCGCCTGCAGCTTGCGCGCGTTGGCCTCCGCCAAGG